TATCTATCTATCTATCTATCTATCTATCTATCTATCTATCTATCTATCTATCTATCTATCTATCTAAGAACAGCAAAGATCACTAGCAGAGGACAGCAAAGAATTTCAGAATATATATATTCTGTCCAAAGCTTCTTATGCATTCAGTTCTTTAGTGTACCTCTGACTGGGGGGGTGGGGGTGGGGTGAAAACATTTTGTAATGCTACTTCAGACTGATTTTTCACGTGTATCCCATGCTCTTCACTGTGTCTCACAACCTTCTTCCCTTCCAAGGCAGCACTAATCCTCATATGTGTCTTTGCCCCCCACACAGGTCTCGATCTGTAAGTGGTGCCTCCACTGGCTTATCTTCTAGTCCCCTCAGTAGCCCCAGGGTGAGTATATGGAACATGTAAGAAATGGTATGTTGGCAGAAGGGATGGTTGGGTACAGCAGATGATGATGAAGAGCAGATGATGATGGGCAAAGTAAATATGAGGCTTAGGGAGGGAGTGGAAGTTGGGGAAAAAATCCTTAGATTCAGCAATCTTGTTTACATCCCATCCTGCGCTCAGTTCCAACTGCTGAGGTGCTGAGGACGCTGCCTTAGTCTTCCTGGCAGAAATGGTGTGTACTTTACAGTGCATGAATGAACGATAGCCAGAAAATGCATCTGGTGCAACTCACTTCCCACTCCCATTTCCATGACTGCATTTCCATGCTAGGAGAAAGCCACACCTGTTGACTTGCATTGGGGGAAGAGTTTTCAAAACACCTAGCATCTGCCAGTGAAAAAGGGGAAAGAAACAGAACAGGGAAGGAGAGGTGAGGTATCTGTAGATCTTGGATGAGGAATGTCAAAGAGATATATGTTTAGCAGGTGGTAGGATTGAAGGTTAAAGGATTTGGATTTATTTATTCATTTAAGCAATCTGTAAACTGCTGATTTGCCAGGGGATAAGATTATAATTAGTCTGGTTGGCAAGAGGCAATAGAACAGATTATAGCAGGCTTTCTGGTGTTGAACTACACCAGAATGGGATCTTGGCAGTTGTAGTTCTATATACCTGGAAAGGATTAGGCTGGGGAAAGCAGGCTAAAATCTGAGCAACCAAGGATGTCTGCAGCTGATAGTCAGAAAAGTCAAGATGGTGACCACAATAATGTGATCAGAGCTTCACCTGTTTTTTCTGTGCATCACACATAAAAGCAGGCACAGCTTTGACTGTACCATCATATAGCCACCATCTTGAC